AATGTCTTTGTCTATTTGGTTTTTGGCTCATTGATCGATATACCGAGTGCAATCGCTTTTATTCGTTTAAGATAATTGCGTCGAAATTGATTTCGAATTAATTTTCAATAACTAAATTTCTTATCGTGATAAATTAAACGAATTTTCGAAATCGTTTTAACCTTCTTACGTGCACCGTCGAACGAAATATCACCGAAAAATTGATTTTAAAACGATATTCGTTCGTTTCTTTAATGAATCCATAATATAATTTTATCTAATTGAGTAATTGGCTTTGCGGTAGAGTCGGTCACATTTACCGCGGTGAACCAGAAAGCACAATCTCAGATTTTCCCATTTAACATTCAATATTATTATAATCGTAGTTGGTTATTACGAAGCGCCGAACATAACATCGAACTGAAGTATGTCATTACTTCTCACATTATTAAATTTGATAATCCATTACACGCGGTGTACAGAAAATTATTTAAAAACACACACTATAAACGAAGGACTTTAATGAAACAGAAAAAAGCAACAACAACAACATCACATAATACACTGAAATTTATTTATCTACATCAATCAACGTTTAGCGGAAAAATACACACATTATAATCAGTTTGAGAGAATGAGATTGATGTTAGTTTTATAAGATAGCGTTCGATGAATTGAGCTGTGAGTCTTTGCCTGTTGACAAGAGGAGTGCACATAAATTATTGCATTTTATTGTATAAATCGAATATAATATTCTAATTTGGGATATACACGGCACACTCACAACGAACGGAATTGGTTTCACATTGGAAGATATGACGGTGAAAGAGAATCATCAAATTAGTTTTGAAGCAAAAGAAAATAAAAGAAAAAAATATGTATAATAAACATACAAAATCAATGTGAGTATATTTTGGGACAAATTGATTTTGCTTAACCAATGTGTTTTGTATGTTAATAATAATGTTAGAGACATTGTAATTACTACACACGAACTTTTCAAAAAGGCGGTGAAAAGAGGCAAAAAAAATCAAAAATGGAATTGATGAAGACAAGCAAAATGCCAAACACACACACTCTCTCTCTCTTACACACACACACGCGCGCGTATCAGGTGAGAGTATATAAAAATTCCGAGCATGCAATCACTTTGGACGAAGACGATTCCGATGCGATGAGGGTAACAAGGAACAAGGTGATAAACATATTTTGAGCGATGGCAGCAAAACACTCTATATATGTGAATCTATGTATGAATATTTTTTTTGTGCCTTGCAGCACTTATTACTGATCGATTGACTGACAATTTTGACATGAACATGTGTTAAATATTTTACTTTAATTATTATTATTAAATTTATCACAAGAGGGTTGAGATTTGCATTTCTTCTGTTTATTTTTGCTCTCAAATCGTTTTGCATTCGACGGACAAATGAGCGTGCAAGCGTGCGGTCCGAGAGCATCAATAAAGCCGCAACAACAATAACAAAAAAATATTCGAGCTGCACATTGAATTGTAATAGCCGGAAGAATGGTTTGGCTCTTTATATTGACGCTAAGCATGCAGAACCGGATGAAATTGTTTTTCATTAATTAAACAATTTTTTAATTACAATCCAAACACTTCTTCTCAAAAACTCTCTCTCTCTTTCTCACTCTCGTGGTCTCTTTACATCCAAATGCAAAATGGTGTAATAAATCCTGTTGGTGTAATAAAATATATACAAAATAAGGAGCATGAAATAATACGGTCATTAATTTTCAGCGCTATTTTGCGGTTCAAAGCTGATACCTGATGGATGAAAGGCGGCGTTACAAGTTAATTTTCACCGCAATACAACTTTACACATTTTTTCTTCTTCTTCTTCTTTTTCTTTGAGAAGATCGCTGGTTTAGTTTTGATTTATATTATTTCAACGCTGAATCTATTTTTTTTATTATTCTATTGTTATGTGCGTAGATTCGTGTTTTAATTTCCATAAAGTGCTCTATTGATCATTGAGATTAAGTTGTTCAATATTACATCCATTTAAGTTGCACTTTTTATTGGCAAAGTATGTCTTGGTGTGGCACTTTCGATTCAGCTCAGTGATTTCACGCAGTTTCAAGCGAAAAAAATCGTCAAAATATTTGAACTTCATCGAGGGAGGGAAGTCGTGTTTTTTTCTCTAATTAAATCCAAGAAAATATTCACATTTGTTGAAATAATCGAAAAATACATCGTGCATTTCGAAATAGAATTAGGGAGCGTCGAACATGAACAAATTCCAACTTTGGTGTTGATTTATTTCAAATGTTTGTTGAAATTTTTTCATCGGCACATGCTAGTCTCAATGTTTGTGATTCGATTAGATTTTCTGCTCTCAATTTCCGTCTAAAATCGATTACTTGACATTTTCGAATCGCAGATGTGTGACATTTTCATTGGACTTGGACGTAGAATTCTCTTCAACTAAAAGGGCAAAGCTCATGCCTTTTCTTTTTCTATTTCGTTCTCTTTTCCTCGCTCTCAAAGAAACCATAAATTTTATGCGTCATTTAAAACATTTTCAAATTAACTACACATTCATGTCTTTCATTTGATCTACACCACAAAATGCAGTATGACTTCGTCATTTCGACCAACAATTTTTCTTTCGACTAAAAATGTGTCTGGATGCAAAGTTTATGAATCAAAGAATGGAACGAAATCGATTTTGTCCAATAAGTTTTTTTCTTATTGAAAATCCCAAGTCAATAACCGCTTATAAATTGGGGATCTAAAAGTGAGAGATTGCCAAAAAAAAAAAACTCAAATTTGGTATGATTATTATGTTGACGACTATATTCGAGGTTATTAGTGACTGATCGTATGGCTACAGTTGGAATTTATTAAATTTTCTATAAGGATGGACCTGAATTAATGTGATGGAACGCTAGCTCTTTATGTATATCGCATTTGGAATTTGCTTAATAATGCTTTGAAATTCATTCAGAGACGTGGAGAGACAATAAAAAAAAACCTATGTATAATATAAGAGACGTCAAAAGAGCTATAATCATAACTGTCGTTTAAGCATGAAGAAAAAAATTCTTATTGAAAGCACTATTAAGCATATATATTCAATACAATTTTCCGAAGTTCTTTCTATCAACGAACAGAGAAGAGCAGAGAAAAAAAACACTGGCCGTAATTATTTAATGGATGAACTGTTTTTTCACATTCCACATATTTTTGTAAACAAGGTGAACATTTAGGTGAAGGTGGTTTCTGGTGGTTTGGAACCAATTTTCGAAAAGGGCATTCTAAACCAGAAGACCATAGCGAAATTTAGATACAGAGAAAAACATATACACATGGAAAAACAACAGCATGTAATTTTAGTTGGAGAAAAAAAAAAATTAAATTGTAGAGTGTTTGCATATTAGTGAATAACATTTGTCGGAAAAATTTCCTATGAACCAATTTTACGAATGACTTTCATTCCGCAAATGATAATAGCCTTACAGAAGATGCATTTTTTCTTTTGTAATGGCCCCATAATCAGGAATGAAAAAAAAAATCACCAAACGTAATTGGAAAATTGGCCATTTTATAAATTCCAACATTTTTTTTATTTGCATTCGTTTCAAATCTAATATTTTGTCTAACTCCCTCTGCTTGGGCGAGGAGACTGCTTTTTTTCTTGGCATAATTTGAAAGGTAAATTAAAACTGAACCATGTGAAAAACGGTATTTTTTCGTATGTGCTGGCGAATTATTTAAGCATAATGTATCGATTAATATTGTAAGAAGAAAATTCATGCGGTACGGCTTATAGATCGTGAAAAAAAAGAAGAAATAAATACACTGTGCGGTTAAAGCGTTTCCATAGTTCAATTAATTTTCATGAAGGCATAAAATAGGATATTAATTAACATTGCGTACATATATATCTGAAAATAATCTTTTAACATTCAAGAAAGAGTGGCCAGGGAGAGAGATAAAGAGAAGAGAGACAAGATAGAGCTATTTGACTGTATAAAATGTTATTAAAAGATGTACGTGCAAATAAAATGGTAAAATAAACGTACAATTTATAAAATGCGAAGAAATACGCTTTTTATCGTAGCTTGTTGGCGACGAATTTCGGATTCGAATCGATTTAGCCTTTGATAAAAGCTTATAAGATATGTGTAAGAGCTGCGCTGCAATGGAGTAATGCCCATTTTCGAAAGGCAATGATAAAGACACGTTGCCGTTTTCGTTTCGCAATACTCGAAACATGTAGCATTAAATTATCATTTCCTTTACAACCAAGCGCCGCAAGTATAAGAAATACTCACAGCAGCAGCAACAGCAACGACAGCGAAATTTTGTATACATACACACGACTTTTGCATATAGCTCGGCTATATTGTTTTCCACATGAAGTGTGTGCGATGTACGTTCATTATACAAAGAGCATCAGACAAAAAACAAACTAGTGATTGGTTCAATTCAAATGGGCGTTACCCCATACAAATTCGTTTTGTATACGTTTTGTATGCGCTTGTGTATATGTAGATCTCAGTTTCAATGAATTAAACACAACGGGGCGTTACTTTACGGCTGTTATCGAAAGCAAACATCAAACGAACGCAAGAACAACGAAAACAGAATAATAAAATAGGACGAAAAAGAAGTATAAAACTCAAGGCAGAGAATGGTAAGAGAGAGCGAGCGAGCAAGAGAGAGAGAGAGAGAAAGAAAGACCCAGAGAAAAAAATAACATTTTCATTGAATTTATTCACTCGCACGAGCGCTTCAGTATTCCAAGCAATCAGCACGCACACACACGAACTACGAATGATGACGACCACGATAGAGAGTGAGTGAGTGAAGAAAAAAACTTACGCATGTACAGCCGTTTTTATGTTAAAGTCTTTGCGTTTTTTTTCTCTGTATGTTCTCTCTGCTTTTTCGCTTCAAGTTTTTCATGTTCTTCACTCGTCGCCCGATCGACTGTCAGCGCGTGTGTATGTCAGTGTATCTGTATTCGTGTGCGTGTGTATCAGTATAGATATTGTGCAAGATACTTTTTTATGCTTAGTTTGCAATCGCCTTAAACTTGCTCAAAGTTAGTATGCAACTAGCTACGTGTGAGCTCGTACAAACCCGCTGTGTACCTCTCACAAATTTAACACACTTTTTCTCGCTTCGAAACATTTATTTTCATCGAGCATTTGTTTTACACATATTTTTTGTTATTTTTCACCAATTTGTGTGATTCCAGAAAAGTAAAATAAAAAAAAGTTTTTCTATCGATAGATAAAAACGATAAATTTGTGCAAAAACTGTATTTATGTGAATATTTGCGTGTGACATTTTGATATTTTGCAAAAATGAACCATTTTTAATGACAAATTTATTAAAGTTGGTTGTGCGTTAATGATAAACATCTAACCGTGAATGAAACGGATTCAGAAAATATAGAAAGAAAAAATAGTGTTTTATTTACATAGCAAACAGCACAAAAAGTAATTAAATTCAGTGAATTAAAATTATTCGAAACGAAAGAAAACGAACGATACAAAAATGCTAACGGATATGACACCGACGGCAGGGCAATTTTATGGTTCACAAATACCTTCAATGGGAATGAACATTACAAATATTGCCAATCATATGCAAAAGCCGACTATGAGTAACGTGAGTTCAATAATAATATTTACATCATTTTTTTTTTCTTCTCTGTTTCAAAATAACAAAAGCCAATTTAACAAAAGACGAAGAGACAAAAAGGAAAAAACCACTAGAATGTAATCTTTATGTGTGCATTATCTATGAGATCCACGCCAAATGTGTTCTCATTATATCCCAACCAAAAAAAAAAACAACACTCAAACAATCAAATCAGTTAACAAAAAAAAAAAAAACACCGATCCCATCAAAAAGTCAGTGAAATTTTGTTTCTTTTCGACATTAAAATAACGGCAATTTTAGCAAAACGACAAATGATTGTGTAGCGCCTGAAAGATCCAGCGCAAAAGAAATCCGAAGAAAATCATTCTTTGGCATACGAAAAAAGGAAATATTCTCGAACAAATCGAACCGGAATGTGTATATTTTATGATTTATTCGAATAACATAAAAAGATGAACAACACACTCACAAAAATAATATTAAGCACCCAGAGTTTCAGGTAGAAAGTCAATGAGAACCGACCAAAAAACTAAAAAATTGCCGCTTTTAACTTCTTTTTATCTTGTATCGGCGCTGATTTCAAATGTTCAAAAGTGATCCAAAGGAAGACAAAGAAAGAAAACGAGAGAGCGACACGCAGAGAGAGAAAACATACATATACAGAAAATTGCTAAACCAATTTTGTAACACTCCAATCTTACACAGCCAATTTGTTTCATGTGTTGAAATCCTAAACCATGAACGATCGAAGAGCAAACGATGCCGAAGATAAGGAATATAGTTTAAAAAAAGGAGAACTAAATCGAAATCGTTCTTTCCTAAATCAAAGTTGCGACATGTTTCGTGTGAAGAAGATCCTTTTCACTCTCGTTCTCTCTTTCTCTCATCAACAAGTCTAGACGCGTTTTCGTGTGTAATTTGAATTGTTCGATGGATTATTCGATAATTATGCATACAAAATGGATGAAAAATAAAAGAAAAAAAACACAAACGAATTTCTACCACAACACAAATCTAACCAAATAATTTATTCCGATAATTGTTTTGTTTCCTGCACCATGGATATTTCTATATACACACACACAAATCATGCTCTGAAAAGTTCTTGTTCTTCACATTGGGCACTTTTTTGTTGTTGTTGTTTGTGAAACGAAATAAAACGAACGAATAAAAAACTATTTAAAATTCAATGTGATGTTTGGATTTTGAAGTTAAACTTCGTTGGCCATTTCCAAATTAAAACTTGATGAGTTCTCTTGCTTTTCATGAGTTTTCACCATTTCGTTTTCGGTGATTTTTTTGAATGGCGCTTCGCTCTTCGCTCCCTTTTTTTGTTGGTATTGTTTTTATTTTTCTATATTAGCGCGGCATTTGTACAAGATCTTTAAAAAAAGCATAAAATCATTAATCATTAATAATTTACGGCAAAAAAAATTAGAAGCGATCGTCAATGTTCTTACAGACAGTACACGAATACTAATATAATATATGAGTTACAAGAGCATAAAATGTGCTCTCAACGTTGCGTTAATCGTGTGCGGCACTCTTTGGTGTTCCATTTCAAAACTATGACCGCCGGCCATCGGCGACGACTGTCTGTCCAGTTCATGTTCCATTGGATAATATGCCATTCAATTTGCAACACATTTGGCAGACTTTCTCTGAATTGATGCAGCACGAAAAGGAAACTTAGATTTCAATTTTTTCTTTCTAGTTTTTGAATTGGACAACTCTAAAGTTCGACAATCAAAAATGTGAAACAAAATGAATTTGAATCGAAAACAAATGGTTTCATTTAAAATCTATGTGATAAATGATGACCGATATTTATTTTGATCAATAAAACATTAAGAAAATTTGTTGAATGTCTTTTGTACGACAAAAGATACAAATGTCTCAAGTGGTAGCATTCACAATAAATCCATAACGACACCATGTACCACTCGTGTCCCATAGAGGCGTATTTTGAAATCATAAAAATGCACTCCCGCTGTTTATGAAATCAGTTAAGAGAAAAAAACAGTAGCCACTGGCTACTAGCCAGTTTCTCTTTAAAGTCACTTGTTATTCAAGATTGTATTTTTCTTATTTCATGCGATTGAGGAATTTTAGAAATCGTTTTGGCACCATATCAAAAAATATTGATTAATCGAATGAACATGATGTTCGACAAGCACTCACTAGATTAATGCCATATGATATGACAATTCGTTGTTGACAACAAGTCAATTCATTCATCATTATGAAAGGATCGTTACGTCACTGAATGAAGTTATTTGAGAGTATAATCTTCTTAATGAACCTCACTAAATAATTTCATGGCATTTCAATGTTTTAATTTTAGGCAATGTGCACAAAAACTCTATTTCGAAGATGTCAGTGTCATGCTTCTGTTCTGTGAAATCTGATACACAAAGCGAATGACTACCCCTTTTTTACCATAACGATGCCTATTTTGGATTACATCAAAATAACAAAACCCACACATGTTGTATTGTATTTGGCGCAATAATTACTTTAATTTGAAGTGTAAAATTACACTGATAATCTTTGTCGCCGCACACAACAAACAAATCATCACCGAACGTACTAAGCTGGCATTGCATCTTCAAAATGAAAAAGATACTCTTCTGTGCGACGTTGAAAATTGAAACGGTGTCGTCACTGAATGCACGACATCATTTACCAAATTATCACAAAATTAAATTAAACCGATGTGCGTCAACATAAACCAATAACATATTCCATCCAGTTCAAAAAAGTCATAAATCTCTGAATGCATGAGTGCGTTCGCTAAATACATAAAAATTAAATCGGGTCGTGTGTACAATGCTTTGTTATTCAGTCGCTGTGGGTGCCGTTTTAGCCACACGACCATTTCTAACAAATCCTAATGAATCTCTGTCTAATTTCGAACGACATTTCGGTTTGAAAGCAATTTATCTCGCCTTCATCATTGGGATACTTAAATCTTCATTAAAATAAACTACTCTTCGCCGATGATTTTTCGAGGGAATGATATCGTTGGCTTTATTTAAACGAAACTATTTTACAATTTGGTTTTTTCGAGCATAAAACCAGATCGGCACTAGTTTGATGTGCAGAAAATGGCGTCAATGGAAAAAGGATTTAGTTTTATCACATTCTCTAAAATCGTTATTATTGTTGTTGTAAAATCGTTGGAAAATGTGTCGCGTAAAAATGTTTTTTTTTCTTCATTCAATCCCCTTTTATATCATCGCAGCCATATTTATTTCGGAATTCCGTTTTTTTTTTTGGCCTCGCTCTCTCTTTCTATTTGTCAACGGTGAGTCGCAAACAAAGAAAATATATTATTTGTCATTGGCGAGACAACTACTACAATAATTGATGATTCGAATTTCAGTTTAGCAGAACAACAAACGAAAAAAGCGAGAACCGTATGCCATTGTCGATTATTGTAATTTTACCTTCATTGAAAGTATATGATTATGTTTTACCGTTTCGGGATTTTGGGTGAGCGAGTGCGCGTTATGGACGCGGCAGCCTATTGGTATTCATGTCGAAACATTTATGGATTTTTGTGAACATACGACAAACTGCATATTATAGTTCTCTCATTGTGATGAAAATGATTATTATACTCGTGGTATGATGCATCCGATATATCTCTCTCTTCCTCTCTATCTAGATATATCTCTCTCTGCCAACTGAGATAAACTAGTTTCCTGTGGATGTATTCAGTTCTTTTTGGAGAATTCACTCTTTTTTTGCTCCTATCGTTTGGTGTGTGTGTATATCAAAAGTTTTTGATATAGTTTGGTGTACACACTGTGAAAAGGGTGCTGCTCTGTAAATTTATATTGTTGAAATTGAACACACTGCATCCAGGTGGGAGAGGCAAAAAATGGCAATGCCATGGAACCACTGCGAAACAAAGCAAGAGAGAAAAAAAACCTCAGCAAACGGATATCACGTTGATATTGCGCTTATAGTAGTAAAAACAGGATTACAATCAAAACTTGCACACAAAAAAAATATCAATCCTTCCTCCTCTCCGGTCCGATTGAAATCTCAGTTTTTTCAAACTAAAATTATACTCGTTGCTCAGATCCCTTTTGTCCTCAACAACAAACACCAATGCAAGGCTGTTGTAACTTGAGATTGCACCAAAGGATACTACAGAAATAAACAGCGAAATCCGTTTCTTTTTTTTTTATTTCGATCAAATGCTCGGCAGGATTGAAGTGTATGCACTCAATGTCCTTACTCCATGACGCGTACGTCGAACAACGCCATTTTCTTTGATAGTTTCAATAATTTCTTTGTCTCAACTGCGTCAAACGTGATCACAGCATATATTCGATTATCGAATGCTCTTTCGATGATATTTGTATGTCGTTTTGATGCCGCTGTCAATGGGTGTACATTTCGTTGATTCAATCAAAATGGTTTTTAATTGAAAAGCGAATGTCACGAGTCAAATCACCGTTGGTGACTTTTATTGGTGTGTGCCGCACAGTGCTGTGACAACAACACACAGCTTGAAAATATATATAAATGACTACCGATTCGAATGAGGCGCGTCCATAAATATTTCATCATTTATTTCATATCGTTTATTGGTTGTCTTCGCATTTTGGTTTTCTTTTTGTGACAAATCGTTTCGGGCAATTTTACCGTCTGCGTTGCTTGAATTTCGTTCAAAAACGCAATTCCAAGTGGTTCAGATTTGAAACGCTGAAAAGGCCATCGCTTGGATGAAATCGAATTTGTTTTCATTTGAAACATTTTCGAAAAATATTGAAACTAATTTTCTTTAATTACTCAATTAATGTCACCTTAAATTGAAAATAGATACGAAGTATAGCATATGTTTAACGGGGGGAACCAAAGAGTTGTGATCAAGTGCGACACAATCGGTCAACATATTCAAACACAAGAACATTCGATAAATTATTCGACAAAGTTTCTTCACATCAAACACCGTCCAGACACAAATAATACACCCGAACCATCGTTAAAAA